TGGTGTTGAGGGAGTGACTCAAGGGCAGCCACTATCTCGGCCTCATCCTCACTTCTAGGCACGGCAACACCATTTTTGTGCCCAATTCCTTGTGCAATTGTTGTTTCAAGTGTATCCCTCTCCAAACAATCGAGAAAATCCTGCGCCAAATCATCAATTATATCAATAGAAAAGCAAGAATGATCGTCCTTAGGAAATTTAATACTTTCAGAAAGATTAAAATCAATGACTTCCCCATCAAATTCCATCGTTAAAGTTCCTTTAAACACATCTATCTTGGTGCGGGCTGTTTTCATGAAGGGCCTCCCTAATAGAATCGGCAATGGGGTAGAATGGGGTGAATCCTCCATGTCAAGCACGTAAAAGTCCGCTGGAAAAAATCAAATTACCAACCTGCACCAAAACATCTTCCAAAAAAACACCCTTTGGGTATGCATTAGAACGATCGGCTAATTGAATTATCACACCATCATTTTTAAGCTCACCTAAGTTCATAGATGCATAAATTGAGTATGGCATAACATTAATCGAAGCCCCTAAGTCTAACATGCATTGTTCAAACTTAGTATTACCAATAACGCATGGAATTGTAAAACTACCCGGATCTTTGCATTTAGGGGGTAATTTCCTTTGTAACACAGCAGAGACGTTTTCACTTACTTGGACCACCTCTTTGTTCGAAATCCTTCTCCTTGTTGTACAAAGTTCTTTTAAGAACTTAGCATACCTCGGGACTTGCTTAATCGCATCAAGGAGCGGGATATTGACTTGAACTTTCCGAAAGGTCTCTAGAATGTCCTTCTCGGGTTCTTCCTTCTTTGATTGCCTAAACCTGCCAGGAAAGGGCACATTCAGTGGAATAGAACTAGAAAAAGTTGAATTTGGACTTACCTTGGTGGTTGAGGACGATTTAGGAGGGTTAGAGGGTGGCGGCAAGGTTTGGTCATCCTTGGCCGTGGGCTTTGCTCCCTGTGCTTCTTCTTGCAGCAACCTGTCCTCCTCTTCTTGACTCGATTTGGATGTATTTGAGTCCGTTCCAACCTGTTTACCACTTCTCAACATGATGGCCTTAGCGGTTTCAAATCCTCCCTTCGGGTTCACAACGGTTGAACTAGGCAATCTGCCTTGTTCTCTAATTTGCCCCATGAATTCGGCAATTTGACCCATTTGCTTCTCCAAATTATCCACCCGTTTGTCTTGGATTTGTCTCTCCTTATTTTGAGTTTGTACTTCCTGCGTCAAAGTAGTAAGTAACTTAACAACTTGATCATTATCCAAAGACGTACCTGAGGTTGGTGGGGCAGATTGCACTTGGTTTTGATTGGGGACGAATGGCTTTGTATAAAAGCCCGGTGGTTGCTGCCTAAATCCTCCTTGTTGTTGGGGTTGTTGAGGATCCCGCCATTTGAAATTTGGATGGTCTCTCCACCCCGGATTGTAGGAATTAGAGTATGGATCATGGCGTGGTTGATTTTGGTTCCCAAAACCAACGACATTGGCAGCTTCCCAACCCCCATTCTCAATCAATTGAGGGCATTGATCATTGGCATGTCCTTGCACCGAGCACACGCCACACACACTTGGTCCATGAATCTTCATTCCCTCGGCTAACTGAGAACAATAGAAGTAAGGTTAGCTAATTGGGATTGAATCTCGGGCATAGAACTTACCTCATTCACTTGTGGCCGTGGGGGGTCCCTTTGTCCAACACCTTCGTATTGTTGTGCATTATGTGCTCGATTGGCAATTAGAACTTTTGCAGCCCCCGGAGTCTTATCCACCAACGCTCCTCCCGCCGAGGCATCAAGCATTTGGCGTTCCATGGGGAGGAGTCCTTCGTAGAAGTATTGAATGAGTAGCTCCTCCTTCATTTGATGCTGTGGACAAGAAGCAACAAGTGATTTAAAACGTTCATAATAAGAAGGAAACGATTCACCTGGGTTTTGTTGGATGCCACTAATCCGTTTCCTCAAGAGAATGACTCTTGACGTTGGGAAAAACTTCTCCAAGAACGCTCTTTTCATACTATCCCAAGATGTAACCGTTCCGGGTGCTAACTCGTAAAGCCAATCTTTCGCCTTTTCCAAAAGTGAGAATGGAAAAGCCTTCATCATCAAAATACTCCCGTCAACATTGATGGGTGTCATGCTCGAACAAACAACCTCGAACTCCTTGAGATGCTTGTTGGGATCTTCCATGGAAAGCCCATGGTATTTCGGAATGTGGTGCAACAAGCTTGACTTCAACTCGAATTCATCGGTCTTGCCTTGGGCAGCCGCGGGGTATTGAATGCATAATGGTGCGGCATTTGTCAACCCCGAGGCCGAAAGCTCTTTAATGGTCCGATTGTCCACTGCCATAACTTCTTCTTCCACTTCTTCAAACTCAGATTCGGCCTCTGAACTTGAACTAGGTTCACTAGGTTCGGGATGCCTCCTCTTTCTTCTCAAATCACGTTCAAAATCGTCGTTGAAATCCAATATGTGTGCGTGCACGGTTTGAGAGCTCCGCGTCATGCACTAGTACCTAAACCAAGAAAACAAAACAAAATAAGCAAACTAGGTAAATTATACTAAAACACACGGCAAAAAAAACACAAGGGATTAGCAATTTTGCTAATCCCCGGCAACGGCGCCAAAATTTGATGTGAAAATTATGTTGACACACAAATTAAACCCTATGGATGACAATTGTAGTATATGAGCAAATAGGGGATCGTTCTAACCGGGGATTAACTAGGGATGCTAATCAATGTAAAACTGACTCAAGAACATAAAAATATAATGTAGAACACTAAACTAGACTCAATTAATGCAAAACTAGGGTTTAAAACACCTAAACAAACTAAAAACTCAAAACAGCAACTAAAAGGCTCAAAACTGCCTTAAAACCACTTTCTGGGCAGTTTTGAGTACCTAACACTAGTTTGGACGAATTTGGACTATAACTTGACTCAAAACACTTAAAAACACAACTAAATGGATTTCTAACTAATCTAACACTTTAAAATAAATGGGGGAATGATTTTGACGAAATTAAAACTTTAAAACTCAGACTTTAAAAACAAATGTAAAGCAGCACATATTGTGATTAAATAGAATGGTGAGAAGCTAGTTAGAGGGTTCCTTATCCACACATGAACATATGCATACAACTCGATGTCCAATTACTCTTTCAACAAACCATGAATGACAATGCCCCAAATTAACTAGATTGCACCAATTAATTCTCAGATTTCCCTAGATTCATTGAATTGAATGGAATACGCATTACAACCAAATTATTCTTATCAAGGACCCTAACTATGGAATACGCATGATAGAGACACATATCAAAGATCATTAAGTTTAATGGAAATCATAAGCATTGACGAGGCATTCATAACTATGGGATACACATGTTATTCTTGCCTAGGATTTACTTAACACAATCGTGACTAGCGACTTTCACTACTTATGAATACAAGTTAATAGCGATTAGGTGAAATTCCCTTATATCCTAGCATCAAGTTTAGGCATGCAAATTAAGTGTCGACCCTCAACCCACATACATAAACAAGTTATCAATCAAATAGATAAGTAAATCACATTCACAATTTCTGAAATCATAATTGGAAGAAATCAAATCATATAAAACATATGTCCATGGCTTCAAATTCACCTCTAACTAAAAAGAAATTAGTTCCACATGTCTAACATAATTGAACAACAATTTAAATTAAACATGAAAACAGAAACAAAGAAAGAAAGAACTCCAAACACTCCACTAATGGCAGATTGCATGTGCAAGGTGTCTTCCTCCTTTGGAATGCACGGCACTACTTCTTCCTCCTCCAATGGTGGCTGCACAAGGTGGTGATGGTGGTGGGAAGGCACGGCAAGGCTTGGGGATGGTGTATGGGTGTTGTGTGGAAGGTGTGGAGATGAAGAATGGTGGTAGAAATCGGCTGGAATGAAGGAAAGGTGCGGCAAGATGGGAAATAGGGTTTTGGACGAATTTCTGAATATGGAGAGGGTGGTGTTCGGCCAAGGGAGGTAAAAACACATATATATAGGCAGCCAAACCCTAAAGAAATCAGGTTAGACAAATGGGCTAGGGTTTTAGGTGCGGCTAGGGTTAGGAAATCCACCAAAAACTAGGGTTTCTAGAACATTAGGTGCGGCATGGGCTTAGGGTAAGTAATCAGATTTTTTTCATGTGAACAAGGCCTAGGTGCGGCATAGGTCCAAGAGGCAAAGATGGGTCATCCAAAAGCCCAAAGCCGAGAATAGAAACTCTCGAAATTGGAAACCTCCAAGAATAGAAACTTCCAACTTTAGAAACTTTGGTTTCCAATTCCGAATTCTTAGTTCATCACTTTCATTTCTTCATTCTTAAGCTTCTTTGACCTTCAAACTCGTCCATTCCTCGTGCTCCATTTGCATACACCACATTCCAGCTCACTTTTTGCTCCAAAAGCTCCAAATTGCATCATTTCGTGTAATATGTCCTTTAACCCTGAAAACACATGAAAGTAGCTTAAAAGACTACTTTGACGAAAAAAACATAACAAAAATGCATAAGAACTAGCTAACTAAGGCGCATAAATATGCTCCTATCAGTCTGCTATCCAATCCAAGTCCAAAACTACTCTAAATTTCTCCACACTACGCCACAACACTACATCTACCATGGCTAATTGACCACAGACGTATAAAGTTTGTTATAAAAAGTCAAATTTAACCATGGACATTTGAAGTTCGTGGTAAATAATTATTATAACAACGGGCATAAACAAACCTGTGATTGAAATGGTTAAAATAACAATGCGCGTTTATAGCCCGTTCTAATTTAGCTAAATATTACCACAAGGAAAGCCTGTGATCGCAAAAAGTTTTAACAACAGCGCCTTTTTAATTTATGACTGACTGTAATTGTTATCTGTAATTTAAATTTTTTATTTTTTAAATCAACTAGTATAATAATAAATGCCCAAATTTCAGATCTCAAACCCTATTTACAATTTTCAGGCAGATGCCCTCAACCATCAGGTCTCATCCAATTCGCTTATGTCGACGATTTTCCGACCCTAAACTACAGAGATGAAGAGCTTGTTTTGTCTCGAGATCGGGGGGGGGGGGGGAGGAAGAGCTCGCTTTGTCTTGATGATGGGTTGTGTTTGGTTTCTGCATAATTGACATTCGCGAAGCTGCTAGGATTTCTAGTTGTGGCGCAGCAACGGAATAGCTGGGTGGATGAGTTGTTGAATTTAGGGAATGAGAAATCTGATTACAATTGGTGAGTAAATTATTGCCAAGTTTAATTCTTTGATTTTTATGCTTATTTTTGGTCTTGGGACTAATCAAAATTTTAAGTCTCTGATTGTCCCTACTTATTGAATTGCTGAAGAAAATTGTTGGGTTGCTAAATTGGGTTTGCATAATGGGAGTTTGGTGTTCCTGCATAATTATGTTTAAATTAATTATGAGTAAAAGAACAAACTCCAGAATGTAATGGAGCCAATCTCGCAAAAGACTCATGGTTCTCAAGGTTTCAAATGAGAGAACCAAGGTAACAAAAATGTCGGGACAAATATAAAAAATGGTGTAAGCAAGAAAAGACAAATTATTTGTATTTGTGGTGATTATTATGCTTATATTCCTGGTTTTTTTTTTTTTTTTTTTTTGGTAAAATTTGGATGGTCATTTTGTTTGGTCTGTCCTTTGAATTCTTTTAGGTGCATTCGGAGCCAGAGGCCATAACGATCGGGATGCAAGAGAGCTGGCAACAAGTGGTTAGTCATGCTATGTTATTGTTTAAGCCTTTCCCATTTTATAGTATAAAAGGAATTTCTTTATGTGGGTTCCACACTTAATATCAGGGCACTTGAAGTTACAAATTCCAGCCCTTGATTGTTCTTAATCAAAAGAAAGCATGCAAGGGACGATACAATATAGTTTAAGCCGCAATCATAATGTTTTGAAAAGCAAAACACTCTTCTTATTCACAATGCCATGCATGGTTCACAATTTCCTAAAATTTTAGAGTGGCATGTTTATTCTTAGGAAGATCTCACCTCAAGAGCTCCAAACCTCGATGGTTATTGTGGCAAACTCTCATTTCTCCTAAAATTTTAGAGTGGCATGTTTTGATTGTTCTTAATTACTGTAATGGAAGCCCCATGGAAAACTCTCCTCTCTCCTCGCTCGCTCTCACACACACACAGAGGAAGACATCCACATTGATCTTCATATGCTTGACAAATACATGAGGTCTCTTTGTGTCTCTCCTTCTAGATTTTGACTATTATTTTTCATATCACAATACTCTTCGAGTAAGAAACTCAATCTATGACTAGGTGGTTCGAAATAAAAAAGGAAAACCTTGAATTATTGCAATCAATTTTTTTTACAGGTCGGTCTATGGGCCCTGTGTGATGAGTTCTGATTTGTAAGCTATATATTTTTCCTTGTTTGTCTCATAGATGGTTGGTGGTTCTAATTCATGAGGGTTTATAACTCAAATATCAGCTATATTTACAGCCACCTGCAAATTTAAAATGTGATTGGCTTGCAGAAGATGTGTGTCTTCTTAAAGAAAAAATTGCAGAGAAGACGAATAGCATTGGAGGACCAAGATTGGTACTAGGACTTGAGTTTTGTTTTAGAGTGTGAAGCAAAGTCTCTACATATTTTGGTGATTTGGTATATTAATATATGAATTTTAATATATGAATTTTAATAAAATTAAATTTGCAATTTTGTATATTTATATATATTTTTTTATCTATTAAATAATTTTTTTTTTTTTTTTTTACTTTGGAAATTTTTTTATAACGAGCATTAACCGTGATCAATTTGTAATCCACAATGGCCATAACACGTGGTGTTAGATCCCAATCTACCACAAGCACAATCCGTGGTTACATTGCATTTGACAACGTGAATAGTTCGTGGTAGAAACAAAACTTTCTATCACATCCAAAATACTAACGGGCATAATGCCTGTGGTAGATTGTAATTTATCATAGACATCCACCGTGGTAGATGAGCTTTTTTCTTCTAGTTTTGCCATTTATTGCCATCATTACCAACTGGACCTACAATAATATGAAAATAACTTAAATTACTATAATAAATAGAAATTAACTAAGTAAATGCAAAGAAATAAGATAATAAAATTGTATAAATATGCTCCCATCAAACTGATTTACGAATAATTTCATGGCGCAGTAAGAGACAATCAACAGTATCTTTATCAACCACGAAGTAGAGTACAAGGCAACAGCAATAGCAGCTCTTTGACCAATAAAATTGCTTCCAAAACAATATCAATTTAATTTAATATATCACACATGAACCACTTACTATGGGCCACACTAAAATATTGAAATATCCTTACATGAAAAAAGCGAGTGCAGCAAACAATAATATAAGTTCAATTTGTTCATATATTGGTCAATAGAATATGCTACACTTATAGAAAAGTACTTTCATATTAATTTTTGTACTGAAAAAAGTTTTCTATATATAAGAAAAAAATTTCAGGAATTGACAAACCAGCGTTGTTAAATACCAAAGAATATATAAAACCTCGAAACACGTAATAAGTAAATAAAATAACATGCGCAGTTATCTTGTCAATTTGTTGAACAAAGTTGTATCAAGTCATTGTTTAATGCAAGATGCATTAGGTTAATCTTATATAAGTTTAAGTTGTTGGCCCACAAAATTATCAACCGCTAATTAACGTATAGACGAGAGCAAGACTCTTTAAACCAAACATCTTTCTATTCAATAAACTGTCAAAATATTTAAAAATTTAGTTTCACTACAAAAAGACGGGGCAATAGCTACCGCAATTAGTAGTTATTTTCATAGCTGTGTTTCTTTTTTTTTTTTTTTTTTTTATTGAGTTGAGCAATATCACTAGTAAGGTAGATATTAGATTAGCAACCAACGATATTTGAATGCACACTGTTATGTAAGAGTACAACACCTTTCTACTACTGTGGTAAAAACAATGTTACCAATGAGAAAACGTGACAAAAAGCCAAAAGGTAAGTAACTGCTACACCATAATGCTAACTAATATGTATTAAAATATATATATTTCTCACTAGAAACATTATTGTTACCCTAATAACAACTACTAGTTTTGATAGCTATTGCTCACTTTTCTATAGTGTTTGATGCAAGATTTGTGTGAGTTTAAAGTTATTCACCCACTCGCATAAATAACATAAATTGTTATTTATGTGAGTAACCCTCTTTCTTTTCACTGAACTGGACAAAATCTAACATCGTAACGTACAGATCAGTGAGCCAGAGTTCAATAGAAAGCAAACATTTTTCTGTAGAAATGAAGGTTGTTCGAAACCCCGCCGGTACGCAAAGGGTCGACAGAAACCAAACCCAGACAAGGGCTGAGTCATATTGCATGTATATCTAAACATATTATACGCGTTAGAATCCTTCAAAGTCAAGTCTGTCTTTCCGGGTCAATAGTCAAGTGTGCCTTGGGCAAGTACATCCAAGCAAAATACAATTTACATGATAGCAACCCCATCTTACAAATGATAGCAATTGACCTAGTCTTTCTTTCTATTTATCATTACTTTGATGGATTGAGGATTTATCTATTCAATTACTTTTATATATATTGTTGGAGCAAGTTTTTGTTTACGTCGCTCACAAAAATAAGTTTATTTATTCGTTTGTCTATATTATTGAAGATGCTTTTATTTGGTCTCATTTAATTGGCTATGATGCTTGTAAGCGGATGATCATAAAATAGAACTTCTTGTGCGATAATAGGTGAAAATTACACAATATACTTGTATACATAATACATGACACTAATTTGTATGTGACACTAATTTTATACAACTTTGCGTATATAACACAGTTTTTCTAAGGCACATTTTGAAGGCACCGGTTGTATAAAATTTTGTGCCTAAAATATATCAGATGCAAAAGCAAAATCTATGGGCGTGGCCAAGGCAGGCTGTATCTGTGCTGTTCTTATTTTTCATTTCTTTTCCTTAATAGATTACGTTGATGAGAGGTAGAGAAGTTCATTAACCAAAACTACTAAACATTGGAACATTCCAAGTGCCAGTCGATGGAAATTTTGAACTACGCCTAATAAAATAAAGAAGCTTAATATTGATGAGGGAATATTATGCTCTCTTGTGAAGTCTGGACAACCAATCAGAACCCTCAATTTAGTGCAGGGGTTTCGGTGCTTGTCTGAAATGATTATCATTAAACGATTTGGATGGTTGGTATAAAAGCAACACTCGTCATAATCTTACACCACTCGGATGGAAGAATTTGAAAGTGAGGACAATATGCAAGGAATCATTTAGAATCGTTTGGTCCATATGGATCTAAAAGTGTTTCACATTTAATCAAAATAAACAAAAATATATTAAAAAAAATACACTCGGTACATTACAATTGTTTTATCCAAATAGGTCCTAAAATGTTTCACGTAATAAAATAAAAAACAAAAACATAGGAAAAGAACACACTACAGACATTAGAACTGCTTCATCTAATTGGGTCCTAAAGTGTTTCACACATAATCAAAAGAAACAAAAACATAGAAAAAAACACCTTTTATGAACATTAAAATTGCTTCATCCAAATGGATCCTAAAGTGTTTCACACGTAATTAAAAGAAACATAAACAAAGAAAAGAACACATGTAGGGTAATGAAATTGCCTGTGACTATGACTCATTCAACCCATAATTTGTTTTCTTTTTGCATTTGACTACAAATGATATGACATCTTAGTATAATAATTATTCAAAGTCAAGTTCACATTGGGAGACATTTTGCAAAATATTGAACCAGCGTTTGAAATACAAATGTATCATCTATATGTTTAATCTTGGTAGCTGATAAGAGCTGCAAACCGATATTTTCTTTTCTCTACTATGGCTTCCCTAGCAAGGCAAAAGCAGCCTCACTTTGTCTTAATCCCTCTCATGGCACAAGGCCATATGATCCCCATGGTAGACATGGCTAGGCTTATTGCAGAGCGTGGGGTAATGGTTAGCTTGGTCACTACTCCAAACAATGCCTCGCGATTCGACACCACGATTTCCAGAGCAAGAGAATCTGAACTTCCAATTGTCCTTGTGGAAATCCCATTTCCATGCCAAGCAGTCGGACTTCCAATCGGGTGTGAGAATCTTGACACTTTACCCTCAAGAGACCTGCTCAGAAAATTCTACAAGGCTCTAAGTTTGCTACAAGAACCGGTTGAAAACTACCTTCGCGAGCATAATCTTCACCCCAGCTGCATAATCTCGGACAAGGCCCTATCGTGGACTTCGAAAACAGCTCAGAAGTTCAATGTTCCGAGGATTGTTTTCCATGGGATGTGCTGCTTCTCACTGTTGAGCTCTCACAATGTGAAAGCCTGCAATGCTCACAATTCTGTCACCTCTGACTCTGAACCTTTTGTGGTACCAGGGCTGCCCCAGAGGATTGAGATCACTAAGGCTCAGCTGCCCGGAGAATTTGTTACCCTGCCCGATTTAAATGATTTTCGGGACAAGATACAAGAAGCAGAATTAACATCCTATGGGGTTGTAGTGAATAGCTGTGATGAACTGGAGCATGGGTGTGCTGAAGAGTTGAGCAAGGTGCTTGGAAAAAAACTTTGGTGCATCGGGCCGGTTTCCTTGTGCAACAAGAGCAATCTGGACAGGTTTTCTAGAGGCAACAAACCCTTAATTGATCAGAGGCAATGCTTGGAATGGCTCGAATCAATGAAACCAAGGTCGGTTATCTACGCGTGTCTCGGTAGCCTTTGCAGACTAGTTCCAACACAACTGATTGAGCTTGCACTTGGTTTAGAAGCATCAGGGTGGCCATTTATTTGGGTAGTCAAAACAAGTGAGAAGTATTTAGAATTAGAGAAGTGGTTAGTGGAGGAAAGATTTGAGGAAAGGATCAAAGGGAGAGGTCTTCTGATCAAGGGTTGGGCTCCACAAGTTCTTATACTCTCCAATCCTGCAATTGGAGGATTCTTAACTCACTGTGGTTGGAACTCAACGATAGAAGGGGCATGTTCCGGTGTACCAATGATTACATGGCCTCTGTTTGCCGAGCAGTTCTTCAACGAAAAAATGATTGTAGAAGTTTTGAGGATCGGGGTTCGGGTTGGTGTAGAAGTCCCGGTTAGGTGGGGGGATGAAGAGAAAGTTGGGGTGTTGGTGAAGAAAGGAGGAGTGAAGCAGGCAATAGAATCGCTGATGGATGAGAGCGAAGAAGGAAAAAAGCGAAGAACGAGAGCAAGAGAAATTGGTGAGATGAGTAGAAGGGCTATGGAAGAAGGAGGATCATCTCACTCAAACATGTCATATCTAATCCAAAATGTTATGGAAGAGTCTACTCAAGGAAAAGGTTAAAGCTATAATTAAATGGAGTATACTGATGCATCTTATGTGAAATGCATGGCATCTCTCCTTTTACATAAATATGTTCTTCTGTAAGGCAGTGAATTCACTTCTGGTGCATATTTCAGTTAACTGGTGAGAGGTCTTGGATTTAAATATCAAAAATGTCAAGTATACCACCAATTTATTCTCTCTACCCATTATCATTATCTAAAAAAATTCACTTCTATTTTCTACTTTTCCATATTAGGTTAATTAGTACTGTATACTCACATTACTTAAAATAACATTGCCTTCAATACTGAAATCTTCTTTAACATTAATCAAGTGCATATAGAATAAGGAACCCCTTTGGCCCATGTTAGTCGTTAATCGCTTCTATAGGGCAACAAGTACAATGTAAGTTGTATTCCTAATCTTACACTTGCACAATTCATCATCCTCGAGGTTATCTCGGTAAAACGTGTTGGATATATATCAATAATCTGTGATTTAATTATATATATGCTAATAAACAATAAATGCGAATATAAAAATTATTGAACAGAGTATGAACAACGAAATAAATTTAAACAGAAAAATTGAAGATCGAGGCTTGCGTACCGCAATGTCCTTGAAACAAAAATTTCGTCCCTACTCAGTGCTTGTAGTTCTACGGACGTTCGCTTCACTAGGATTCAACAATCAAGTTAGAATTCTAGCACTGGAAAACTTAACTTCTGGCGAATTTCTGTGTGGTTCTCTCATAAAGGATGTTTGTGATTTTAGAAGAAGAATATTGATTTTATGTGTCCTAAATGCCATGCAGAAGGATGTATATATAATAGAAGGATGCCTGTTTGCAACAGGTATGAGAATGGGATGTGTCTGTTGGGAGACATCTTCTCCAAATGGGCGCTTTACTCTGTGTTCTTTCTGAACCCTTCAGACTTCATCTAAAATGATGAGTCTGTTGGTAAAAAATAATTAAATAATTAAATTCGAAATTAATTAAAAATAATTAATTGAATCCGAAAATAATTAATTAAATAATTTAATTATTAGAGCCCAAGCCCAAGAGGCCCAAGGCTCATCTTTTGATAATTAATTATATATTAATTATAATTAATTACCAATTAATTAGTGCACCCCAAAGCCCAACCCCAAGGGTGAGCCCAATTTTATTCTCCAGGCCTATTACTCCAATCACTTTCTATAAAGGACAAAGCCTTATAAAGTGATAAAATCTTTTGGGAATGGCCAATGTGGGACAAAGAAATTTCTACTTAAACTACTCAAATTTCCAACAATACCCCACATTTGAGTTGAAATTTCATTCAAACTCCAACAATTAACCCACATTTGAATGCAAATGTAAATGCAAATGGATGACTAGGTTGCTTAAAACTGAGAGATAATAGACATGATATGCATCGAGTGAAGTGTCTTTTGGACTTGAACTTACCCTAGTGAAAACATATCGGGTTTACTTGGTGATGCATTGGATGTAAAAGATCTTGAACTGTTCACCGTAGTAATAAACCGAGACAATATGCTACACACATATCATGTTTGCCACACCTTAATTCATACGGTTGTGTTCATTTTGGCCCTGAACAGATCCCAGATTTCATAGGAGCTTTAGAGAATTTAGCCATGTCAATTCTCATAAATGCGGCCCCATTTACTCCTATATAGGTGACATTAATTAAGAATAGTCTACCATATTCCTCTTGATAACAAGATATTAATGTCATTAAATATATCCCTCAAACGTCAACAGACAACACACATTTTATCATAAGAATGGGTAAGTTGTGTGTTCAACTTTGAATCAAACTCAACCACTTTGCCTATTGAACCTTGACCATGGGATCACCAATCAGCTAGGTTAGGTGTCTGCCCAGTTCGATTCATTGAATTGGCTTGAGACCCATTCCCCTCGATGTAAATAATATTTGCTCTCTTGGTAGGCCTTTTGTCAAAGGATCAGCTATATTGTCCTTTAACTTCACATAATTAATGGATATTATTGCATTGGAGAGCAACTTCTTAAGAGTATTATGTCGACGCCTGATGTGATGTGACTTCCCATTGTATACATGACTTTTGGCCCTTGCTTGTGCGGCCATACTATCACAATGTATACATATAGCAATTATCGGCTTTGGCCACATGGGAATATCCTCCAGAAATTTTTTGAGCCACTCGACTTCTTCGCCATCCAAGTCTAAAGCTATAAACTCGGACTCCATGGTGGACCGAGCTATACATTTCTGTTTAGAGGATTTTCAAGATATTGCTGCACCTCCCAAGGTAAAAACATATCCACTTGTCGATTTGGATTCTGTAGTGTCAGAAATCCAATTGGCATCACTGAAGCCTTCTATAACAGGTGGATACTTTGTGTAGTATAATACGTAGTCAAGTGTATTTTTCAAATACCTTAACACTCTTACTAAAGCATTCCAATGCTCTTGTGCCGGATTACTTGTATATCTATTAAGCCTACTTACTGCATAAGCTAAGTCGGGCCTAGTTGAATTCATTAAGTACATTAGACTTCCAATTACTTGAGAATATTCAAGTTGAGATATGGCATCGCCTTTATTTTTCTTCAACTTGCATCCAGCATCAAAAGGAGTTACAGCAGGTTTATAGTCAAATTGACCAAACCTTCGTATTATTTTTTCTGCATAATGGGATTGTGTAAGGACATATCCTTCACTATTTCTCTTAATTTCAATTCCTAAAATGACATCCGCTTGACCTAAGTCTTTCATGTCAAAACTTGAATTCAACATTTTCTTTGTTTTGTTTATTACATCTTTATTGCTTCCCATTATGAGCATATCATCCACATGCAAGCAGACAATAACACAAGTTTTATCATTACTTTTAATGTAGACACATTTATCAGATTCATTTATTTTGAACCCATGTGTCAACAAAGTATGATCAAATTTCTCGTGCCCTCCATATAATGACTTAACTAATTTGCACACTTTGCTTTCTTGTCCTTTATGCACAAACCCTTCAAGGTGTTCCATGTATATTTCTTCATCTAGTTCTCCATTTAAAAATGTTGTTTTTACATCCATTTGATGTATATCAAAGTTGTATACAGCTGCAATCGCTATTAACGTCCAAATTGACGTTATGCGAGAAAATGGAGAATAGGTGTCGAAATAATCCAACCTTCTTTTTGGCGATAACCTTTGGCTACTAAATGTGCCTTGAACTTATCAACGGTTCCATCTGCCTTAAGTTTCTTCTTGAAAATTCGTTTATGACCAATTGGTTTACTACCGGGAGGTAAATCAACCAATTCCCATGTGTTATTTTCCATAATGGATTCCATTTCACTTTTAATTGCTTCCTTCCATAAAGGAGCCTCAGAAGAAGACATTACTTCTTTAAAAGTTCTAGGTTCATTCTCGGACAAGAAAGCAATGAAATCTGGTCCAGAGTTTTTAGAAACTTTGATTCTTTTTCCTCTTCTTGGTTCCACATCATTTCCTTGGACACCAGAAGAAGAGGCTTCATCATGACTATGATCATGAACCCTCTTTGTATTATAACCAGATTCATTTTCTTTGTAAGGAAATATATCCTCAAAGAATTATGCATCCACTGATTCTAATATAGTGTTGACATGTATGTCAGAAATCGAAGATTTTACAACAAGGAACCTATAAGCAGCACTATTATTTGCATATCCAATGAATACACAATCAATAGTTTTAGATCCTAGCTTCGTTCTTTTTGGTAACGGAACTTGCACCTTTGCTAAGCAACCCCACACTTTGAGGGTTTTATAAGTGGGTCTATGTCCTTTCCATAGTTCATATGGTGACTCGTCAATCTTTTTTAGAGGAACCTTATTCAATATGGTATTTGCAGTAAGTAAAGCTTCACCCCACAAACGGTGTGGAAGCCCTGAACTATATAACATGAAAATAATCATATCTTTGAATGTTCTATTTTTTTTCTTTTGGCAACACCATTTTGTTGTGGTGTGTATGGAGCCGTTGTTTGATGTATAATTCCATGTTGTGCACAAAAATCTGAGAAGGTAGTAGACTCATACTCTCCTCCTCTATCGGATCTAAGTGCTTTGATTTTTCTCTCAAGTTGATTTTCAACTTCGGCTTTATATGTCTTAAACATATTCAAAGCTTTGTCCTTGCTATGAATCAAATAAATATAGCAATACTTACTGCAATCATCAATAAAAGTGACATAATAATTCTTTCCTCCATGAGTTGGTGTGGATTTAAAGTCACAAAGATCACTATGAATTAATCCAAGTAATTCATTTGATCTTTCTGGAATTGACTTTCTCATTTGCCTAGCAAATTTCGATTTAGTACATGTTTCACACTTATTAAAATCAATTTGGAATTTAGGTAATAATTCTAATTTAACCATTCTATGCATGGAACGAAAATTAACATGTCCTAATCTAGCATGCCAAATATTAGAAGACTCAACAATATAAGTACAAGCATTTATTTTATTAGCATCATCAATAGCAATTACATTGAGTTTCATAAGGCCATCAGCCACATAACCCTTTCCAACAAACATCCCACCCTTGGTAAGTACAAATTTGTTGGATTCCATTACAAGTTTAAAGCCTTTAGCAATCAGAATAGGTCCAGAAACCAAGTTCCTCCTTATTTCAGGAACATGCAGCACATTCATCAAGGTGAGACTCTTTCTAGATGTGAATTTGAGTACCACTTTGCCTTTGCCCTCCACCGCAGTAAAGGCAGAATTACCGATATACAGCTTTTCTCCATAGGCAGCAGGATGGTATTCAGTGAATAGATTTCTGTCAGCGCATATGTGCTTAGTAGCACTAGTATCCAATAACCATTCACTCACATTTGAGACCATGTTGACTTCGGACACAATAGCAGCCAATTCTTCCTTGGTGGTTGCCATGTTAGCATGGTTGTTGTTGTTTCCGTTGGCATGATTTCCATCCTTACGATGATAACAATCTTGTGCCTTGTGACCATATTTGCCACACACATAGCATGCGCCCTTAATCTTCTTCAGATTATTGCCTTTGGGAGCAAGGGCAGATTGTACAAACTGCTTGGTTTTAAGAGCCTTATTCTTCTTCGGCTTGGCCTTGGAGTTTCCTTCCTCAACATAATTTGCATTGGCTTCAATGGCAGCAAACCCTCCAAAATGGTCTGCCTTTCTGCGGTCTTCTTCTACTCGTAGCCTCAAGATCAAATC